CAGACAACCTGGGGAAACTGAGTTCACTCAGAGAACTATCTCTGTCTGGAGAAACCTGCCTTCTAGCTTGATCAGCCATCTTGTACCAATATGTGGAGGAAAACGAAAGTGCCCAAGGTAAGCCAGCCGCCTTCCTCCTTTTCTGCTGAGTTTCCAAATGACCAGTCTCTGCTTGGTCTAAAAACACAGGCTCCAGGACTGGCATGGTCAAGCCCTGCGCCATGGTGGTCTTCGTTCCCCAAGGCTCCAACACCACTGGGAAGGCTTTCAGGGGCCCCTCAAACTCACCACCTCCTTTGGAAAAGGCTATTTCGGTTCTTTGCGCTGGAACGATCCACTGACTCAGCGTGGGTACGTCTTGCACACCAGGCTCCTCCGCACCCCCGGAATAGCGCAGGGGGAGGCCCTCCACCCGTAGGTCAGGTAAGACCAGCGGACGGATGCCAAGGGCTTAAACAGAGCTCTGCCGAACAACCGGGGACAACCTGGTGCAGGATCGCTCGCCCCGACTCCTTGCCGCTGCGGCTCTTCTTTCTTCTCTTTTTCTTCCTGAAATCCTAGGCGCTCGAAACAAGCGCTGCTGGAGCATGTCCTGCTGGTAAGCAGGGCCGGCAAGAACTGGGGAAGCTGTAGAAGTTAAGCCCCACCTCACAGGGATCAAAGATCATAGCTGACCCTGCAGGAAGGGGTGGAGCTTATCCAATAGTACGGACTGTCCCATTATCCGAACCACTGGAGAATATGGTATCTTTTTTCTTTTTAAACTGCAATAACCCTATCAATACTTGATAATCTCCAGTTTTTAAAGAATACCTCACATCTAAGACAAAGTTACTGTGGAATGTAAATGCTCTGGAATGTTTCACTGTTTTTGTACCAACACCTTCTGGAGATCGGTGTTTAATTCCAATTGAATATAATGAACACACGTACCTAAAAAAATTATCTGAAGATTGCAATTACCGCAGTCCAAAGTAATGTGCAGCTACTTCCATATGCCCAAGGAGACTTAGGACATGTGTTGCCAAACAGCAGCACCGCCTTCCTGCCCCATTCCACCCATCCCAAATCACACTACATAGCACAACATGGTTGGAACCTAAAGAAGTCTCATAAGGAGTTTACAACATGGCATACAAAGATAATTGTTCATTGGGGAAAAGGCTAAGAAATTGATCAGGCACAGACAAGTCATTGGGTCAGCTAGAGTAGTTCTTTTGCTTCTGTACTTACTATACGAAAGTTGCTCTAAAAACTTATGGAGATGTAAGTGGGAAAGTTATAATTGGTAAAACTGTACAATTCTTTTCTGATCAATCAGTATGATAAATTCTAATTCACCTAATGTGAGCCATGGCTTAATACCACCAAAGCAATTGGCCCTAAATTAGATTAACTTTCCTACTGGTTTCAATGGGATCCGTATTGCAATCCAATGCACATATCCTTGGGAATTAGTGTTTAATTAGTTAATTCAACAGTTTACTTTTGAGCAAACCTCTCTATAGACACAGAAAGAGATATTACAACCAATTAGAGCAGAATCAGAGCAGAGACTCCATCTCTAAAAATGCATATATAGCATACAACATTGTATTCTTCCACCATCCCAACATAATACACATCATAAAGAGATTAAATGTACAAAACTGATACATAGAAAAGTAAAATGATTGTCATTTTACCTGTTCTTTAAGATCAGGTAGATTTAAAGTACTGGATGACAACTGATTATCTGTCACAATATCGTCTGATGAAGTTAATGGATTGGCGGGGACAAAGGAGGCAGAAGTTGGGGCTCCAGCCTGCTCCCGGAGAACCTCTGCAGAAACCAAATGAGATATGTTCGTTTCAGTTGCTAATGCAAGAAACAATGGGGGAAAGAAAGCAAATGATGGGTAGAAGAAGCCCAGCATCATTTCCATGTATATGCCAGTATCTAACAAAACACAAAAACAATAGTCTGCCAGAGAAATAAATCCAACTACTGTCTAACAAAAAAGTAAGCATGCCCTAATGACATTTTTAATGAAAGATCAAATGCATATTAAGAGCAATATTCAAACTGATCTTTCTACTGCTACTGTTTTTAAATAAACTGGCATCAGCTCTGACTGTTTTCCCAAGGTATAATGTGAACCGCATACTGAAAAATGTTATTGAATAGAAGCTACAAGTTATTTTTCAAGGAGGGTTTTGGTGTGGTGTGTTTTACTCCAAAACCACATTTGATGTATACGTATTCTTAATATTTCATGTATCAAATTTGCATGTTCTTGCATTAAAACTTTTTAAAAAAATAAAAACTTGGTTATAAGATTATTTTATCTAGCATCCTGCACTCTAGGATGCAAGATCTGGTATTATGCTTTCAGTACTGAAGGCAAAAGGATGATTAACACCTGTGCTCTGGTACTCATTGATACACAGACAACTTTAACTTGCCTCTTTAAATTAAGGTACCTAGGTGAAGCTGGGTAACTGTATGAGTAACATGAGAACTTGGTACCCTCCAAATTCAAACCACAACACCCACATCTGTGAAATCCCCCCCTTTTTTAGATTTTTTATTGCATTTTCCTATAAACTACTACAAAAAAGGGAGGGGAAACTACATCTATGGGAGAAAGGAAAGAAAACCACTAAAAACCCAAGTATAGATCATTACAGAAGCTTGTATCAGTGTTAGTCTAAAATGCTAAAATTACATTGCACATGGTCGATTAAGCTATATTATTTATCTTTAAAACCATTAGTTTAACTGTTTAAAGAAAATCACAAGAGCATCGTTAACAAGAAAAAATTTCAAGGAATCCTGCTTTTAATGATCATGCTCACAGAAGCACTGCTTTGGCACAACAGATTCTGTTTGCAAAACATTCCAGAGACTGTCGGATCTTTTATGTAATTGTAATGGCATGAAAATATAAGGAACAAAAAAGGACAGAGAAGGAGTTAAAATACTATTAGCATCAAGGGGACTGAGGAACTGGAATGTGCCAAAGCTCCCCCTGAAAGCAAGTCTTGCCTTTATCCACTTTGTTGACTAGTTTTAGGCAGGATTCTGCCAGCGATTGTTCCACCTCTGTTATACTTGACCTGTAATACTGGCTGTCATATGTCACTAAAAAAAAACAAACAGAAGAGACTGCAAGTGTTTTTTCTCCCCTAAGTGCTGGCAGGGTGACAGTCCAAGCCCAGATCTATCAATATAGTGGACTGGGGTGAGTACACCTGTTCTCCAGAGGACAGGTCTACCAATAAAGTGGACCGGGGTGGATAGACCTGTTCTCCAGAGGCCAGGTCTCCCAATATAGTGGACTGGGGCGGGCAGACTCTCATGAGGTAGAATTTTTGCTCACAGCACTGTGGAGCTTAGACGGAACACTGCTCACCAGCAGAGAAAAACTGTAGCATAGGTGAGTATATTATTAGGTATGGTACATGGGAGAGAGACAGAACACAGGGTTATATCTAATCAACTATGAGCCCTCCCCCTCTACCCACTGCATCCCCCTTCCCCAAAAAGACTGCTCCTCTTTGGAAACAGCAGTAGTAGTAGAAGAAGAGTTGGATTTATACCCTGCCCTTCACTCGGAGTCTCAGAGCAGCTTACAATCTCCTTCTTTTCCTCTCCCCACAACAGACACCCTGTGAGGTAGGTGGGGCTGAGAGAGTTCTGAGAGAACTGCTCGAGAGAACAGCTCTAAGAGAACTGTGACTGACCTGAGGTCGCCCAGCTGGCTACATGTGAAGGAGTGGGGAATCAAACCCAGTTGTCCAGATTAGAAACTGCCACTCTTAACCACTACACCAAACTGGTGCTCTGCAATGTCAGAACAGAACTGGTGAAAATCCCATATGCACAAACACAGCACATAACTAAAGGCACCCTTCTGACAATGGAAACCAGTAGAGATGCAAGCTATGAAGCTCTCCTTTCCCATTGCAAGGTGATGGAACAGTACGAAAACTCAGACTCCCAAGTCAGCTGTGCCTGTAGGTGGCACTGTGTGCATGCAAAGCACTTCCAAGTTACCTCCTTCCTCCAACAGGATGGTAGCAGATTCACCTGCTCAAAATGTGAGGCTTCCCCAATAACATGTAACAAGAGGAGTGGGGGGAGCTCCAGTTTTAAGAGTAAAAAACATACTTAGTACCCTGCACCTTTAACCTGTTCCACTGGAGAAACTGCCTGGGGAGAGGCCACCGAAGCAAGAAGCAGGAAGGTTTAACAGCTCTGTGCCCACCTATGCTCTTAAAACTGGATTTCCTACCCCACACTATATGTGATGGGGGAAAACCAGCATTTCAAGAGACTGGTCTGTGGCTGTCTAGTTTGGCCGTCAGTGTTTCTTTAGAGAGGAGGAGATATCTGTTCAACTGCTTTGCTTATCTCTCCCTTGAAATCACTTGGCCTAGGGGGGAAAGCACTTAGTCATTAAACAGATGGGCAGCTATTTACTTTTCCAGCATTTAACCCTTTTCCTGTTCCTTATAACTCCCTTTCTATGGCTGTAAGGAGTTACAGATTGGGATAGGAACTTAATTTGAAGTTCCTGCAGGAGATGGAAGGAACCACCACCCAAACACACCACTGGCAGTACAAAGTACTACCAGACAAGGTCTTTAAACAGCATTTGCCGGCAAGAAGCTGGTGGGAGGGGAAAAATTAATGGTGCTGCAACAGCAGCATGACATCACTTCCGGCGAATACCTGGAAATGACATCAATTTGCTGGTGTGATGATGATGCAATGCTTTAGGATTTGGGTAAAACTTTAAGAGTTTTGCCCAAATCCTAGCATGTCAACTCAACATCACACCGGCGACATGACAACACTTCCAGGTATTCACTAGAAGGGATGCTGTGCCGCTGGCGTGGCACTATTCACCCCGTGTCCCCCCCCCCCCCCCCCCAAAAAAATTGCTTTATGGCTTTTAGACACGGGCAGTGGCTCAGCAGTAAGAAAGACGGGGAAAAGAAAGGGAAGAGGAGAGGAAGAGGAGGGAATTCAAAGTAGGGTTAAGAAAAAAGAGGAAGATGTTAGGGGGAAAGAGGAAAAAGCAAGAAGGTAAGAGGTGAACAGAGAAGAGAGGAATGCTGGATCAAAAAAGCTAAGAAAATGGGAGAAGAAATGAACTGTGACAAACACAATGATGCTTTGGGAAAGGAAAGGATTTTTGAAGGTGAATGCTACTCCTAGTTTTAGATAGTGTATTTCATTGGGTCATTTTGCATGTTTCCCAAGAAACCTGCAAGACAGATATCTTTTATTCCTTATTTATAAATAGGCAACTGAGATGCACATTCCCAGGCTGAAAGTCATACAGATCAGTTAGTGGTGGAAAATAAGATGTGCCTTTAAAAAAACCTGAACACTGAAAAAAAGCCAGAGAATGCAGACATGTCAAGTTACAGTGACCTGCTGAAAAAGAAAGGGGTTAAGTAACATTCTCTAAATCTGAGCTCTGAGAAATGCTAGTTCATACCTAACCTGAAGTCTGTAAATGTTTTTCACCTCTACTGCATACAGAGTGATGACCTTAATAATCCTGAGGACTGAAAACTGGATTTTACTGGTTTTATTTAAAATGTTTATTAGCCACCTTTCTACCCTGCAGCACTCAAGATGGCTTACAATAGAAATAAAACAACTGTGGCACAAGGTGAACGCTGCGTCAAGCACCACGCCCAAGCTGGAAACCCAGCTTTTCAAAGGAAGAAGAAAGAAGAATTGGATTTATACTCCCCCCTTCACTTGGAGTCTCAAAGCAGCTTACAGTCCCTTTCCCTTCCTCTCCCCACAACAGACATCCTGTGAGGTAGGTAAGGCTGAGAGAGCTCTTTCGAGGACTGCTCATGAGAAAACAATTCTCAGAGGACTGACCCAGCTGGCTGCATGTGAAGGAGTGGGGAATCAAACCTGGTTCTCCAGATTAGAGTCCACAGCTCTTAACCCCTACACCATGCTGGCCCTCTAGAAGTATAACCCCATCCAAGAGAGGAGAGATCTCAAGTCCCTGGTCTGCCTTTCTACTAACCCAGAGAACCTCTGTCTTGTCAGGATTAAGTTTCATCTTGTTCATCCTCCTCCAGCCAATAACTGACTCCAAGCACCGGTTCAGAACATCAATGGCATCCTCAGAATTAAAAGAAGGGCAGGTTCTTATACCCTATTTTTCTCTACCTTAAGGAGTCTCAAAGCAGCTTACAATTGCCTTCCCTTATTTATTTATTTATTACATTTGGTTTATATATTGCTCTGACCTGAAGGTCTCTGAGCGGTTAACAAGCAGGTTGCAAGTGCAATTTAATTCCCTTACCTAAGGCCACACAGTACAGGGGGTGGGGCTGCCCTACCGGCACCCAGGTGGCGGGTTAGCTATTCTTCGGCTCTGGCTCCTTCCTCCAGGCTGTCCATTGGGGTCGGCGTCCCATTCTTGGTGTCCAGGGCAGGTCTTCTTTGCTCGGCGGTCTCCTGGCGTACGGCCTCTATCAGTCCCAGCCCGGCTATGTCCACATCCGGCTCCGCCACGCCTGCGACTCTACGTCACCGCGCTCCTCCGCGACTCTACTTCCACCTCCACTGTCATCGGGTCTTGCCACACGCTCTTGCTTTTCTGGCCACCAGGGATCGCCGCGCTGCGCTGTTGTTCCGCCGCTACTGCCGCCATCGCCGCCGCTGATGTTCCCACCACATCCTCACATGGAGGAGGGTGCCCCCTACTCTCTAAGGGCAGGTACCCATTTATCTACTTGCTTTATTTACTTCCTCTCCCCACAATAGATACCTTATGACTGGCCCAAGAACTGTGACTG